TCATCTAATAAATGCCCTTTTAGTTTGAGAGGAATAACCCTAAAAGTCTGTCGGCCAACTGTCGGCCAACTGTCGGCCGGCAGTATGCCAACTGTCCATCAAACTAAGTATCCCAAGTGAGATTTAAAGACATGTATTCCAATAGAAAGTGAAATACCATACTGCAAGCTGGAACTTTTTATGCATGTCAATGCAGAAATGCAGAGTTGTACCTACCCCCCAATATTTGCTTTGCTCTTTAGGAAACACTCGGCAAAGGCTTCCCCAAAAGGAACACCAGAACAGGCACATTCACACAAATAAATTGCATGTATCACTCAATAATGAATTAACTGAGCTAAAGTCATATAATGTTCACCACTATTTGTAGATATACAATCACTGTTCACTACAGATAAAATATGTTCATTTCTATGGACACCTTTCGCCTGCCTTTCTGTAAAGTCAAGAAAGCCAAGAAAGCCCTCACTAATTGATTATAAATAAATTGCATAACAAATACCGGTAGGCTGAATATGTTTTGTGCTAAATATTGTATAATTCCGCCATGATGCATGTTATTTAGCATTGCAGGTATAACCTACCTTAATAACTTTGCAGAATACACATTACTCTGTGTTTAATCCTTGCACGCAAAGTTCATTGATATATTTTTTGGCATCACTAACTCTTTGCTTGAGCAGCATTATCAGTGTTTTGTAATCAAGAGTAACTGTCATGAAGAAAGACAACAAGATATAATAAGAAGTTGAAGTTTAAATAGCTACACCAAAGATCTCAAATGGTATACTTTCCCAGATATTTTCTAACACTGCCAAGTGTAAAATGGATTCAATAATTACTATCACGGAGCTAGACATGTAACATAAAAACATTGCAAAAATAAAAAATAATAAGATAAAAAAAATATAAAGAGTCAAGATTGGCACACACAAATAACCTGGAAATTTAACTTTAAAGCATCTTTCATTAACTACCATTCCAGTTTTCTCAATGGCATCCCTCTGGCGATTTAAAATCTTTTATCGTAGAAAAATATAAATGGAATAAATTATTATACTGTCAAGACCCTATCAAGGAAACAAACCCGAAATTTCTCCTAAAGTAGCCATAAAAAGTGATCATAGCTAGAAGACTTAGTGGCTCAGTGTAAAATCAAACCCAGCCAATTATGTGATTT